CCCTCAATTTAATTGGCCATTAGATCTGTGGTAGCATGTAATTATTTAGAGAAGACATTTAATTTAGGGTTTTCAAAGTGGCTTGTCACACAAAGAAAGCACACACACACCCTCCCCCTTGCCGAGTGATTTCCTTTTTTCAGAAGAACAGCATTTATTTGAAATAGAAGTATTTTGTAACATTATAAATGTCTTACAAGCATCCTTGCTGAATAAAAGTGTATATTTATTTTTAAAAATCTTACTGAAAACTTTTGAGCCATATATATATATATATATATTTGAATCAGAACATCTTTCCATACTTGATCCACTTTTTTTTTGCATTTCATATTACATATTTCAAGTCTTTGAAATGCAAGTCACTATCTGACATCTAATCATTTACGTATATAATATTCCAATATCTTTGGCTTGTAGCAAAAAATTTGATCTTGGCTGCCTACATGAATTTACCATCGAACCAAATTCCCTCCTGACCACCCTGAAAGGAAGCCGCCCAATTAGAAGTTGCCACTAAATAAGAATGGAGGCTTATTCTCATTGTTAGAGCCCAGATGGTAATATAGGCTTACCTGTCTCCACAGGCCTCCTGAGAGGAACGTGGGGTAGAGAGTGGCCCACAGCCAATTTATCCACCCCTCGTCGAGTTGCATGTGCTGCTGGTGAAATGCACCCTGAAACTTTCATGTTCCCTCGCCTGGAAGTTAATTAGGAACGTCTGTATTTGGCAGCTGGGGCAAGCTGTGACATGTCACCGACGCACGATAGGGTTATCAGTTGCATTTGGCACTGAGTAAAAATGATAGAAATATGACTCACTGACATCGTCCTTTTGGTTGTTTATAGTGTGCCGAGAGCTGATGAGTGATCGGAATGAATCATCGTGCAAGATCACAAATAATCAATCAATGATGTGATGGTCTGCCGCCTCAGTGACAGTAGATGAAGCCAAGACATGGGCGAGCATGCAGGTACATATGAGATTGACATAGAAATATGAGCATTAGTGCTTGTCATCCTAGACCTATTGTATATTAAATATCAGTTTAGATAAAAGTAGTTCATATTAGCTTGCCTAATATTCTTACTTCTGTGAAACATAAATTAAGATATTTTGAAAAAATGTCTCAGTGTTTTTTGTCCATACAGTGTGTCAAGCCATAGTTGTTTTGGATGACTTTTGTATGAACAAAAGCAGTTGAAACTTTCTTCAAAATATCTTCTTTTTGTGATCTACAGATAAAAGAAAGTCATAAAGGTTTGGAATGACATGAGGTAAATGATGACAAAAATGTAATTTTTAGACATACTGTAGTTCACCCAAAAATTAATTCTGCCATTATTTACTCAACATCATGTCATTCCAAAACCATAAGACTTTGGTTAATCTTCAAGACAAATTAGGATATTTTTAATGACAACTGAGAGGTTTCTGTCCCTTTCTTGAACATAACCAAAAGATCCAAAAAGGTCATAAAGGCATCGTAAAATGAATCCATATACAGTAAATTAAGTTTGATCCAAGTTTTGTGAGATGATACAATGGCTTTATATGATTAACAAGTTTTTATTTAGGCTTTTATTCACATATCAACACACATACAGAGAGCGCTTCACAAATGACAAGCTAATATGTGCATCACACACTAAAACAAACATTATGTTTGAAATTTCATGTTTGCCATGTAATGTGCACTATGTATGTTTCGATCATTGTTTAGATGTAAATAAAACCCTAAACTAAATCTGTTCATCGTGTAAAGCTGTTGTATCACTTCATAAGACAAGATAAAAAAATACCATGGAAGTCAATGGGTACGAGAAACTCTTTGGTTAACCATATTCCTCAAAATATCTTATTTTTTGTTGAGCAGAAGAAAGAAACTCAGGTGAGTAAAGGATAACAGAATTTTCATTTTTGGGTGAACTATCCCTTTAAACCACTCTATTGATATGGATCCATTTTACGATGCCTTTATGACCTTTTTGGATCTTTTATATTTTGGTTACTTGGACTTTCAATGAAGGGAGAGAAACATCTCAGGTTTCATTAAAAATATCTTAATTTGTGTTTCGAATGTTACCCAAAGTATACTGTAGGTTTGGAATGACATTAGGGTGAGTAAATGATGGAATCTACATTTTTGGGTGCACTGTTCCTTTAAGGCTCAAGGTTATCTCCTTCCAAAGGAAGAGTGATAGAGACTGAATCTGAGTGGGCCGTATTTCATCTGTCTGATTTTGCCACGTCTGTGACAGTGAGTGATGCCCTCTGCCAGCTGTGTTTAAGCATGCACAAGCTGTCACCAATCAGAGCAACTCCCCGTGTGTTTCAGAAGCAAGGTGTTATTATCTCATCAGCCAAAAGGACAAAAGATGACTGCATGGTTGCAGTCATCCATGCTTGCTGCAGTTGCCTTGGAAACCAGCTGCTCAGCAGGAATGTTGGAAGTAAGTACGAGCAGGGGGCCAGTGGGGTTACAGAAGGGGGCCCGCTTTACACCCCTCTCCAAAAATGGAGATTAAGCCCATTGAGAATGTAACGGTTCAGGAGACTGATCAGAGCCACAGGTCAACACAAACTGAGCTGTTTGTTTTGCAACTCTAGAGCTGACCGAGCAGTTTTCCAGCATGGAAAAGCCTCATGTTTGGAAAAGTGGAGTGGCTGGGAGAGGAAGCCGTTCTTAATTTGTAGGACCGGTTACTTCATGGCACGCTGCAAGTCAAGCATGCTTTTTCCACTGCATGAAACAGGCTAAACGGACGTCAATAAAGACCATTAGACTAATTCAAGTGATTTAACAGACTGGGAGCTAAAAGCAGACCAAGCGAGGTTTCTTATTTGCACCTAATCCCTGTCATTTTAAATCCATCAATCTAATTCATATTTCATGAGTTCCCCTCCATCTCAGGCCACAGGGTTCAGAGATTGAGCAGGGATATGCATTTCCAGAACCCTCTCGAAAATAAATCAAACCGACTATGGGCCTTATTCATGAAACCCGAGATGAGCGAGTCATTCGTGAAACAATTCTTGCATAACCAGTTGTGTTCAATTCAGTGGGACAATTTACACTACCAAAAGTTTGAACAAAACTTTTAAACTTTCTATTCATCAAAGAATCAACACAACTGTTTTCAACACTTCAAATCAGCGTGTTAGAAGGATCTCTGAAAACTGGAGTAATGCTGAAAATTCAGCTTTTCCATCACACTAATAAATTACATGTTAAAATATACTAATATTGAGAACGATTATTTTAAATTGTAATAAAATTTCACGATATTATTTTCTTTAACTGTATTTTTGATCAAATAAATGCAGCCTTGGTAAGCATAAGAGACTTTTATAAAAAAAAAAAAAACTAATAAAAAAATTGTATCGACCCCAAATGTTTGAATTTGATGATTTGTGAACGACTTCCACTGAAATTTCTTATGCTGGTGTTTAATAAATAAAGCTTTGTGTTCGGAATAGAACAGAATTCAGCCAACATTTCAAACAGTAGTATGCTACATTGATGTCACATGACTGTATCACATGACACATTTGATTTTTACAAATACAAAATGGTTTCGTTTGAACACAATTTTGTATATAAATTTCTAGCAGTCAGGTCAAGATAATGGGTCAAAAATAACATTGCAGATTATATTACTTCCAGTTTAATATAAAAAGGGAAAAAGTTGAGCACATTGTATTGTGGGATATGTGTGCTCTGTTGTATACTATGCATGATTTGACAAATGTAGTAGGTTATATGGTTATTCTTTGTGATGAATAAGTAATGCTAGAAGATCGTTTTCTCCATTATATTAGACCTCTTCTTTTTAAGTCATACTTCCATACTTTCGCATGCTCTGAAAAATATACATGCTACACACTGCAGAAATAGTATTGGTAGTATGCTATTCTCATCTGCACAGCTCATAAGTCTCAATTTGGCCTTGACTTGAGAACTGGGGTATAAAACCAATGCCTTACACAACACTTGGTGATTAATGGTATTATAAAGATCGCTTGGTGCCTTAAAATACCCACCAAGTGACAAGAAGTGAAGTCTTATAAATCATCCTAAAACAGCATTGGCCGTTAGCCAAGACAAGAAATCAGTCTGTGCAGATATCAGTGGTACATTGGGTTGGGTGGAGTGGTGTGGAAAACAGAAAGCTTTGACACTCAGAGACACAAAGATGGCAAGCAATAGCATGCGTAGCTGCAGGCGAGAGATGAAGACGGAGATTGCTCCAGGGAAGGAAATGAGGTGGTCAGAGACCACGCCACATGCTAATCCTCTATTTCCCGGCTCCATGTCTGTCTCGCAGGCGAATGGGAACATATCTGGTACTCTTTCAGCACTAGCACTAGAGTGCTCCGGCCATGTTTTTTCAGTTGTGCTGATGAGACCGGCTGGCTCCTAATAAACGTAGCCTTTGGTTTAAATGACAGGTCTAATTTCAAATACTGTGATGAGAGACTGTGGAAAAGTGTGGCAGAGACTGAGACACGCGAAACAGTGCCTGAGTCATTCAGATCCTTCTAGATTAATTCCATTTCCTGTGAAGATTGTGTACCGCAGAGCTGATATCTGATTAGGGTACTTGGGGGAGTTGTTTATAATTAGTTTGGGTGTAATGTCATTTGACAGCACCTTGCGGGGAGGCAAATATTTTTTCGCAAATTTATCTGCATAATTGGTCAAGGTGTTAATCAGGTTTGAAGATACCTGCTGGCTAGATAAAGCAAAGAATAGATCTGTTCTACATAACATCACTGAGGAATTGTGGGTAAATGATATTGCTCAACATTCTTTACATTATACAACATTATCCACTGTGAAACAGATAGTTGTAAAATCTATTTGGGTAAGTCACATTTTAAGTTGTCTTATTTTGTCTTGTTTTGTTTTGTTTTGTTTTAATAACAAACTAGTCAAAATTAGATTTTCCAAGAAAAAACTGAGTGGTGCTTTCCCGTGTAAAATCCGTTGCCACAATGCTAGGTTGTTGTGGATGGTGGCATAAACTAAGTGGTTGCTAGGGCAGTTATTGGGGCATACTAGGTGGTTGCTAGGTGATTGCTTACTGGCCCAAGTAAAAAGAAACCACTCTCAAGTAGTAATCCTCATTTATGGTGACTAACAAAGACTAACAAAGTTTTCTCATGACTTTATTTGTATATTTTTGAAACCGTATCCAGAATTGCAATTTGAATTTTATTGGAAGGACATAGAACACTACATCCGACCTTTGAATGGTGGCTTTGACAAAGTCTTGTTTGAAAGTTTTGAAATAAACAAAAGTCCTTGAGGTTTGAAAGTTTATAGGGCTTACAGACAGAGAGAACAACAGAGCGACAGATAATGCATTGTTAACTGTTTTCTAGTCATGACTCTTCATTAAAGTCCCAGTTCCACACAGACCAATGTCAGACCATATGTAGAACTGTTCACCAGACAGATGGTTCCTCTTGTGTTTTTCACTTCCACACTCTTCCTTCAGCTCACGCACAAGTTAGAAGGAAAGACTCAAGCCTCAGACACACGCCAAATGAAACTCCACTGCCATAATATTTGTCTTGACACCCAAAGCTTCCTGAACTCTTTGTGAAGGAAGAGATTGGAGGTGTCATCTGTATGGCACATTAAAGACCTCTGGCTGTTTATTTGTTGTCAGATGGGAAGGCAGGGTGAGAAAAACCAGGCCTGTCCTGCTGTTCAGCACCACACAACCAAAGGGAAGTGAACCTTTCTTGGTGACCCCCCAACCAGGGCTCACTCAGGTTTTCCCGATTTATGGATGCTCCTGCACTGTTCAGTCACAACGAGGGTCTGTATTTGGGGCTCTGCAATGAGCAACAAACAACACAAAGAACAAGTTGTAAGTGAAGATGGTGAAGAGAAAAACACTTCATGAATGAGTTACGTTTGCATAAGTCTGGATACTTACTCATTCCAAGCAGCTAATGTTAATCATTTTTAAAGAGAATTATAATGCATAATCTCACTAATGGTTAGATCAAAGGTGGGCAAATATGGCTCTACATTTACATTTTTTAATGCATTTTCATCACAACAATTCTTTTCAAGATGGGTGAACAGTCAATAAACAAGCACAGTTGCCTCAATGAGGCAGCAGAAAATAAATGTGGATTATTATGTGGACACTGTTAAAACCATCTATTTGAGCTGTAATAACATGCCACTCAAAGCTATTGTCTGGCAACATATCACTGTATGAATTTACAAAATGCTTGTTAGAAAGGGAAACATGGGCAATCACTCGGCATCTAAATGCAATGGCTTTGTTAAAAAAAAGTATTCAATGAATGACATTTAGAAAACACAACTATGGCATAATCTTTAATCGAACACCTGACTTAGGCAAAAATTATGCGACATTAGTCCTTAATGGAAAAATGTCCATGTGATATAATTTATTGTTTGTAAATCACATGAAATTGCTTTTGAATGCATTAGAAAGCAATGAAATGAATGCATTCATTAAATCGGCTCCAGTCTTGTGGGGATGGAAAGCACACATAAGTCAGTAACCATGGTTTCTGGTGGCTTAATATTGCAGGGGTGCCATAGCAATGGAGAGATCAACACTGACTCTGTGTGCTGTAAAGGGTGTGGATAGCATCTATATACAACCTGTCAGTCACTGGGCTGTCAGTCGCAGTTCCTCTCGCTTTCTGAAACTGCAGGTGTCCCTCCTGACATAGTTCTTATTAGCACTCATATAGTGAAGCGTTCATGTGAGTCGAGACCTGATTCGTCAGACACACACAGCCGCTATACACATGGGAGAGCAGAGAAAGAGGTTTCTGAGGAAAAAAAACAAACATCCGGTTATTAAAATGACCTCGGCACACTTGCACATTTGACCTTCAAATTAATATTTTACCAATATTCTGTCTTCTGTGTGGAGAATACTGATTTGAAGTCTAGTTTAAACATCTCAAGTATAGCATTTTTTGTTGCTGCTGATGTTTTTTTTCTGTATTATTTGTTCCCCTTTTTTAGCAGATGCTTTTATCTAAAGCAAGGGTGCCAAACTCGGTACTGGAGGGCCGGTGTCCTGCAGAGTTTAGCTCCAACTTGCCTCAACACACCTGCTGGGAAGTTTCTAGTATGCCTAGTAAGAGCTTGATCAGCTGGTTCAGGTGTGTCTAATTGGGGTTGGAGCTAAACTCTGCAGGACACCGGCCCTCCAGGACCGAGTTTGGGCACCCTTGATCTAAAGTATTTGCATTCCATTACCAGGAGTGGGGTTCACACCAATAAGAGTATTTGCTCATTGGATCTTAAGTCCAACCACTTAACCACTCAGCAACACTGGTGACTGCATCATGCTAAAATCCCTTTGTTTCTTATACAAGTATTTCAGAACCATTTTGTTAGTAACAAACTACCAGGAGTGGGGTTCGAACCCACGAGGACATGCGTCCATTGGATCTTAAGTCCAACACCTTAACCACTCGGCCATCCTGGTCACTCTGTGGTGTTAAAGACCCCTAACACAACCACATACAACCGCATTACTATATTCTATATAAAATGCACAGTGATCTACGAGGACATTTGTCCATTAGAACTTAAGTCCAACACCTTAACCACTTGGCCATCCTGGTTACTTTGTTGTTTTAAAAACCCCTTTGTTCCTTCTATAGGTACTTCATAACCAGTTTGTGGTAATGCGACCACATACAGTCACATTAATGTATTCCATTTAAAAATGACATTGATCTACCAGAAATGGGGTTGAACCCATGAGGTCAACTACATCCATTGGATTTGTCCAGTGGAACCAGTTTGCTGATAACACAACCACATACAGCTGCATCACTATGTGGGGCAAATTTCTTATTGTTCTTATTGAAGAATTCAAGATGGCGCCAGGTTGTCTGCTGGCTTGTTGTCGCTTTGCTGCTTTGCTGGCTTGCCGTTGCCTCTCACCTATGTCAAGTGTTTTATAAGTATTGTTATGGGCGATATGGCTGTTAGCGGTAGAAACACCGCTGTTCTTACTTATGATCGCCAAGCCCTTCTTGATTTACTTCTCTCTACCAGGGACTGCTGCAGACGTATCCCGATTTAGGGCCATTTCTTTAACTCATGGATGTCTTCTACCTTTCCTGTGGTTACCTGTTGCTCTACGAGTTGCTATCTTCATCGTAAAAAGTGCCTGAGAAAATGAGGAAAGTGCAGCGGTCTTCTTGTTAGGCTAAAGAGATGCAGGTTTTCATCGACATGGTTTCTCTTTTTGGTCCGCATCTCTTTTTGGCCCTCTTAGCTCTTTTCACCTTTTTTCTAGTTATTTGTGAAAATGTTCGTCCATATGCTAAAAAGTTGAATTTTGCAAAACAAGTTAATACTGTGGTGAAAACTAGTTTCTACTACTTATGGTTAATAGCTAAGATAAAACCAGTGCTCTCATCTAGAGATTTGGAGATGATCATTCATGCTTTTATATCATCTAGATTGGACTATTGTAATGTTGTGTACAGGAGTTTCTCAGTCATTGGTGAATTGGTTGCAGCTTGCTCAAAATGCTGCTGCAAGACTGTTGACCGGTATGAGAAAGAGGGACAGAACCACTCCGATCTTAACATCCCTGCAATGGATCGATTTTAAATGGTCTCACGCCCTCGTATTTGTCAGATCTTGTTACTCTACATACTTTGAGGAAGCACTTTTATATCTTGGCTTTTGAGTCTGATTTAAGAGAGACCTAAATATCAGGTTTTTTTATGATGCTGGGTTTTTGTTATTGTCTTTGTTTAGTTTTTTATTGTATTGTACAGCACTTAGTGCTGCTCTTGTGGGAGTAGAAATGTGCTCTATAAAAAACTAAACTAAACTAAACTAAACTTCTTATTCAACCTTAATGCCGAATGAAAAGCATGGTGAGTTGTCCCCTTAAGAATCTTCCCCATTCGTGACACGACCGCGTTCGGCTTTGATCGCCTTCTGCACGGCTCACCAAGCAAACACTTTAATTAGTGCTTTATTGACTAATGCTTTTCTCTAGGCCCTGTGTCACTAGCTTTACCGGCCGCCGGCCTATTCTTTGTGGATTAACCTCTTTCTGTGCGCAATTTAACCAGCTATTCTCCTGCACAGTAACGTGAACTGTTCTTCCAGGAGGTTTCGACACAAAAGCCCTTCAGAGCCCAGGCAGACCTCAAAGAGCCATCAACCCTCCATCTCCAGCTCTTCAAAGACTCCTTCATCATTCTGAATCCCTCTGTTCCTCCTCAGCCCCTCATTTAGGAGCAGGACCCCCAGCCCTCACCTCCCCCACTGACCAACACACTTATCCCAGTGTCTCTTGGGAGCTTGGAGCTCATAAGTAAGACCTAGACAGCTGATAATGACTTTGCAGCTCTGGGGGAAGGAGAGTACTGCTGCGTTTTTGTGGTTATGGCGGTGGTGGTCTGTGTGTACATGCAGGGTCCAAAATCAATACTCACCACACACTAGATGAGAGTAAAAAATGGCTTTTGGCAAATACAAAGGGAAATTATTTTTTAGAAATGCAATATCATATCATCATATCATGGTAAAAACTGCAATGTAAGAACAACAGACTGAGCCTTTTTTGCACACTTAAATGAAAAAAAGAGAGATGCAAACAGAAAAGTTGTTCATCCTCTAACCAATTTTACCATAAATTTCACTGCAAATCCAAAAGTTGTATTATTTTAGTTATTTATCTGTGTGTTACTCTAGAATTCCATGTGGAAACTTATTCCTGGTGTTGAAAACAAGAAACAAAATAAAAATAGGTCTTTTATGTTTTTGTGATATAGTTGGTGTTTCACCTGATGGGACTGATAGACTGTGGCATATAGGAGAGACCGGGGATAGTTGTCACAATTTAATCTAACGAATATTTCTCGAAGTAAATTTCTGTTTTAGATGCACACTTTAAATTAATGGCCACAAAAAGCTACTGAACATTATTGCTTTTAACAGATACAGTTGATTGAACACACATTGACCTTTTGTGGCAATATGTCTCAACAGCAGGGCAGTGATGTCACATTAATGGGTTATCATAGTTTTTTTTTTTTTTTTCAAAATTATATCAATGAAATTAAGCCCTGAATGCTAAAACGTAAAAGGTAAAATCAAACTAAATTAGAAATATATGATATATTGTTATAAGCTTTGTTAGCTTGTTGACTGTATAGCCTTTATTGGCAGACCAGACATGTCAAATAATTTGAATCGGGGTGGAGGGATTTATTCTCTGTTTCTTACCCTAACCCTGTTTCTGTCAAGCACACTTTTAAAAATAGTGGACGAAGGACCCTGCTTACTGCAGGGTACTGCGAATCAATATAACACACTAGTTGTTTTTCAATAAATGGCATGGGGTGGAGAAAGATGAGTTAGACAGACAGAAGGGAACTGGTTTATTGGAGACTCAATAACTCAAGCTATTTATATGCACAGCCTCCTCGTTTCCTTAGCGACCTCTTTACCTATTTCAGGCCACCTGAGAGCTTCAGTCTTTGTTAAACTGGGATTGAACAGAGCTTTACCGCAGTCTTTGTTTCTTGATCTCTCTACAGTTACATGCCTGAAAAATGTTCTTAAGTTACTGGAATACCAGTGTTTCTAAAAGTGAGTCTGTGCTCCCCCTGAGAAAGACAGTGAGAGATTTACACAGCTGGTCCATGAGCACAACACAAACTCCAAACTCACGGTCCATTCTTTCTTTCTCTTTTCAATATGCAGAGGGTGGTGGGTACATATTACTTTCCCTCCAGCATTACTCACCCCACATCTGATTCCTGCGATCTGGGTGGTTTGTGTGTATATTGATTCATTCTTCCATCAAATAGCAAGAGTTATTTATATACCAGTAAGTTGTTGTTTTTTTGCTCAGTTGATGTTTATTTCTTTTTAAAGGTTATCTAAAACATAATTTTGTTGGGGAAAAAAAGAAAAATACTTTATTGAATGTGCATAGAGCAAGCAAAGAATAATTTAAAATCTGTCATTTTTGACATTCATGGTTCCAAGAAGAACTTTTAGCTTCCATGGAAACTTTCCATTGAACACAATGTTCTTTATAGTGTATGAAGGTTCTTTGGATTTACACTAAAATAAAATAAAAAAAATGTAAGATCTGTTCACTGAAAGGTTCTTTAGGAAACCAAAAATGGTTCTTCTATTGCATTGCTGCAACACATTTTTTAAGAGTGTAGTAGCCTAAACGTTGGGGTTCTAATTAGTGTTTATTTTGTCGAAATGACCAGATGACTACACCTTTCATAAAAATAAATTAATGAACATCAAACATATACAAGTTTTTAAATAAATGTATTATGTGACAAAAAAATAAGTGATACGAGAGTCAATAGCACTGTTATATACATATTGTCTGAGTGAATGGTCAATTATAGGCTACTCTTTAGAAGTCTTTTTACCATAGAATGGAGCGATTGACCAATCAGAATCAATTATACCACAGAATCCCAACTGATTGGTCAGTCACTCCATTCAACTGTAAAATCAGTTAGGCTGGGCATACACTGTGCGATTTTCATCTGATTTTGAGCCGAATTCTGACTCGTGCGAGTCGACTCTTTTTTGAGTCTGGGTGAATTTCAGCTTTGTCGTGCATCGTTTGTCGTGCAGTAGGTGGAAACGAGAAGCGATTAACCTCTCCCGACTGGCAATCGGACAGTCGGATGAATTTCTGACATGTCAGAAATTTTGGTCGGCTCTCGTGAGGGTATCACACAGTTGAAGCTGAGCTACGAACCAACTGCCCTAAACTCAGCGCTTTTTCTCTCACTGCGCCTGCGTAAAAACAGAACTAATACCATTTCATCTTTAATGCCGTAAGAAAGAAAACGAAGAGGGAGACCTTTATAAGTTCTAGCTGCAATTTAGCAAATTGCTGCTTACCTCCAGTTTGCGTTGAAGAATGGATAAACCATATGTTCACGTTTTCATCAATTTATTGTTTATTCACAATGTTATTTAATATTTACTCAGTGTTATTATTAC